TGAGATCCTTTCCTACCCTGTGGTTTATGAAGCTGACTCCATGCAAATTTAAATGACAAATAGCTCCCAAATGCTGAGCCATGGGGGTGATGGAGCCCTGGAGCAGCTGCCCTGGGCTGCGGTGGATTCCCCTTCACTGGAATTGCTTCGATCCAGGGCAGCATGCGTCTGAGGTCTCCCTCTGTGCAGACAGGAGCTGGTCCTGCCAGGTCTGGTGGCCCGCAGTGGGCCAGGACCAGGTTAGGCAACACAGCTGTTCGTCTGAGCCAGCACGGCAGCAAAGAGGCTCCTTCAGTCTTGGCCCAGGACCGCATCTGGTCTCATAATGGGCTTTGAAGATCTCACAGGGTGAGAGGTCAACACTGCCCTTGCAACATTTGCTAACTTTAGCGTCCCCCATAAGGGAAGCTCTTTATCCCCCGGCTGGGACACGGGGAGCTTGCTTTGTCAGGTGGGCCCTGGAATAAAGAGTGCTCCTGTCTCTTCTCAAGAGAATCTTTGTTGGAAAGTGGAACAGCAGTTTAGCTAGCATCCAGATCGGGCAGTGGAAGTTGGGAGACGCACTCGGGAGGATGGGTGTAGGCCAAGCTGCAGGAGCTCTGAGCTCCTCTAGTTCAGGGCTGGGATTCCCGGCTTGCCCCAGGTTTACAGCACATGCGCACGCATGCACGCAATTATTAACGAATGCACGTATCTAAAACATGATTGGGCATATGTTAATGAAAAGGGTTGATCATGAAGACCTCCTCGCCTGCTCAGTGAAGAATTTATGACAAATGCTTCACCGCTTGACTAGGATGGCCTCAGGAGAGGTCTGTTAGATTTTGACTCTTATTAAGAGTGCTGTTCCTTGTAATGGGTGTCAGTTGCTTGGGTTGTGTGACTAGTTAAACACCAGAGCCACTGCTTTTCTGTTACAACAGCAAGAGTCATGGACTCTGGCTGTGCAAGTTGGTCCCAATCTTTATACAGTGGAGGATGTATACAAGATGGAGGCACTTACACCAAGGTCTCTGATGTGTTCCTTGCACCTCAGGCTTGTGTACCCTGCTCAGATGTGTCTGGCTTCTCCACAGTTTACATTTAGCCTCTCTGGATGCTGGAACCATGTGGGGCACCACAGGACAGACTTGGCGCCCTTAGTAGTGACGTGCAGTGTTCCCCAAGGAGTCAGAGCAGGGTCTGCCCAGGTCAGCACCCTGCGAGGCTGCTCCATTGCTTTGGCAGGTAAAACACGGCATACAGATGTCCACGGCGGGGGGAGGGTGTCATCGCTGATTCTCCTCTGCAGGCAAGGGTGCTGAAGTTGCTGGGTCTCCTCGCCAGTCTGACTCCCCTTTTGGAAATGAAATGTAGTTCTCCTCGATTGCAAGTCGCTTCAGAACATGCCCCCGATCTGGGCACACACCCCTGTCCTCGTGTGCAGCTGCGGTGCATGAAAGTCTGCATGGGCAACAGATCTGTAGTAGCAGGGGGCTCAGCCCAGCAGGGAAGCTGTACCTAGGTCCAGGGCCTGGAAGTTGATGTCAAAGGTTAAGCAAGCAACAAGGCAGAGATGTTGGCACAGACCTCTCGGGGCAGCCAGGGCTGAGGGCAGCACCTGCCCTGGCATGGCCCTGACTGCAGCATGCCCTGGTAGAGGAGATGGAAGTGAGTGCTCCATTTGGATGAGTTTTGCATCCCCTGCTCGTCCCCACATGTGTGAGCTCTTCTCGCCTTGCTCACCCCGTATGCCCATGCTGCACTGCGCATTCTGCCTTCCCTCCGTCCAGCCCACGCAGTCTTTCCTGCAGTGGTTACTACCTACCCTGAGGAAATTGGGACCGAAGGTTGGGAAGGTTTCGGGGCCGGCAGCATCTCTGCAGGGTGGTGAAACAAGCACGGCTGCTCAGGCCAGGGGCCGGGCTGTGGGCATGGGCGGGATGTGGCTGGTCCATGTCATGGCACACTGACCGTGTCCTTGTGCCTTGCAGACTTCTGGGACACAGCAGGGCAGGAGCGGTTCCAGAGCATGCACCCCTCCTACTACCACAAAGCCCATGCTTGTATCATGGTAAGGACATACCTCTCGCTCTGGTCAGAGGGCCATGGCCAGTACTCACATTCCCTGGATATTCAGCTGGCTTGTGCTTTTCCCTTGTCGTGCTGCAGATACTTCCTTTTCCTGCTTACAAACCCCCTCCATCTGTCCCTCTCCCTTTGCTGGCTGGCCTTAGGCAGATTAATCACATTTCGTTTTTAAACTTCCCTCCCCCCAGTTCCAAACAGTTTCTTTTCTGTCTTTGCTCCGTTGGCACCATCTGTCTGGTACCTTTGTATCTTTCAGGTGCTGTCACACCTGCGCTCTCCAGGCAGAGCCCGTCCCTGTCTTGCTTTGGGATGTGATGCCTTGCATTCCCTTGGCCTGTTCTAGCCATCATCGTGTCCTGCCTCTGCTCTCCTGTTCAGATTGCTTTTCCCTCGGTCTTCCTTGCCGACACACATTTTCTGCCCTGGCTCTCCCCTGTTTGGTCCCCAGGCCATGCTGTTTTTAGTCCTTCCTGGTTTAGTGTCATCCATAACTTCACACCACTTCACTAATGTCTTACCAGGCCACCGCCCCCTACTAGACTGTTAATGGAGCTAGTTAATTGGACAGCTCTATCCCTGCACACTAGGCCTTTTCCTAACCCCCTGTGGCATTGAGGGGGACAGCTTGCTTGGCACTGTAAAAGACAGGTATTCAAAGGGGACCCAGAGACTGGTGCTGGCCTAGTGCGGGGGCCAGGGCTGCTTGCTTTTCACAGTGGGATGATATTTTGCCACGTTCTGGGGCCTGTCATTCACACCTTTGCTATCAGCTGCTGTGAGCCGCTGGTGATGGGGCAGCCTCACGGGGCTTCTGCCCAGCCCAGCGTCTTCCCTGCAGGCACTAGCTTCAGAATGCTGCCTGGTTAAAGACGCAGGCTGAGCCAGGGTTGGGGGGCAGTCCCAAGCCTGAGCTTGGCCCGTGGGAGCCCAGGGGCTGACCTGCCGCCAAGCCCAGAGACCAGTGCTCTGTCCTGGCAGGTGTTCGATGTGCAGAGGAAGGTCACCTACAAGAACCTGAGCAACTGGTACAAGGAGCTGAGGGAGTTCCGCCCAGAGATCCCCTGCATCGTGGTGGCCAACAAAATTGACGGTGAGTGTCTTGCCATCTCTGAGGCCTTCAGCCTCACCCATCTCAGCTAACAGCAGCCACTATCCCCCAGCTACCAGGGCACGTGGGGGGAGCTGTCCCCTCCCAGCAAGGGCAGTGCAAAGCCAGGCTCTGTTGCCACAAAGGACCTAGGACTGTGCCAAGAAAACTGCAGTGCAGACTAGGCCGTGGCCCGCTGGGGCTGGGCTCGGGTGCAGGAGGGAGTCATCTGTATCAAGGGCTCTTGGAGATGGACTCCTCAGGCCATGTTTTACCCAGTGAAGGGCTGGATCCTGCTCTGGCCTTTCACATGTTTTGGGTTCACAGAGTAACAGAGGCCCAGAACACAGGTCTGGCCTGCTCTCAGTGTACGCTGTACTCACACACTCGCGGTGCCCACTGCCCCCAACCAGGTGTAGTAGCAGTCAGGTCTGCACTTCAGCCATGGACCAGCAGCCGCCTGCCTGCAGCCAGCTGAGGTTAGCTAGCACCAGCTAACCTCACTGCGGGGCTATCACCTCGCCACTCAGCCTCTCTCTCGGGGCTGTGGGGGACGCCACACCCGTGCCTCACTCGTCACTTCTCTCTGCTCTCCCAGCGGATATGAAAATGACTCAGAAAAGCTTCAACTTTGCCCGGAAGTTCAACCTGCCTTTCTACTTCGTCTCTGCTGCAGACGGCACCAATGTGGTGAAGGTAAAGCTGCTGTGTGGCCGGCGTCCCCAAGGGCAATATGTGGTCTGGGGGGGCGGGGGGTGGCACAGGGTGGAGGTGGGAAAGAAGGAGCATTTCTCTGGCAGGCTCCTGCAGGCAGGGGCCTGATTCATGGTAGGGCTCCCCAGGGCCCAGGGGTGGTCATGTGCTTGGCTCCCCAGGGCTGGGGGAGCACAGAGGCCCCTGCCGCCCCCTGAATGACAAGCACTCCTTTCTTCCCTCAGCTCTTCAGCGACGCCATCAAACTGGCCGTCGCCTACAAGCAGAATTCAAGGGACTTCATGGACGAGGTCATGCGAGAGCTGGAGGTAAGAGAGGCTCTGTGTGCTGCACCCTGTGCTCCCTGGAGGGGCTGGCGCTCCCAGGCTGCTGCCTCCAGGGAAGTAGGTAGTGCCCTGGCAGGGGTCGGCTCATGGGCTGCCCCAGCCCCACTCAGAGGAGCAGGTGAGGTTAGCAGGGGCAGGGGGATCCGGTGTCTGGTGGAGGGGCAGGGGCCAGGCTGGGAGTGCCATGCGGAGCAGGGGTGTCTGGTCACACGTGCGTCTTGCCATCCCCATCCTGTTCCCTTCCAGAACTTTGACCTGCAGCAGAAGGGGGAAGACTTCTCGGATAAGGAGGAGAGCTGCCCCGAGGAGAAGCCCCCCTCCACCTGAGCCTCCCCGGGCCAGCCTCAGGCTGCTGCCCTGCATCACCCAGGGGGATGGGTAGGACCATCGGTGTCTGCCTGGGGAGAGCCGACTTTGCAGGCCTAGTAGCTCTGGGCGCAGCCGTCTCAGGGCTCCTGTCTGTGGCAGGGAGACCGGCTCGGCCTGAACTTCCCTACCTGGTCCAACCCCAGAGCATCCAGGCCATGGAAGGGGACACATGTACATGTGACTATGGCCTGCCCCAGCACAGAGAACACGCAGCAGGGAGCTGTAGGAAAGGGTCCCGCCCAGGCCATGGAAAAACTGGCACTAAAGGACTTTGTGCAGAGCACTGTGTCCTGTCCTTCCTGCGCCCAGTACTGGTGTAGTTAGTTGGCTGGTAGTGGGCCAAGTGCGAGGGCCAGCCCTGCCCATTGCTGCTCCAGCTCAGCTGCTCTGCCCTCTTGTCCCCTGGCCTGGCAGAAGGTGCACCAGCCCTCTGCAAGCTGTATCACCCCTTCCCCATCTCCATCTCCATCCCCTCCTGCCGCCCCCCACCCTCCAGCCTGGTGGGCTCTGTGCGTGCGGGGTCCCCTCAGTGCCTCGTGGCTCCCATGTGGTTCTGGGGAGGACAGAGGCAAAGCCAACCGCAAGAAATACTCTTTTACTCTTCCCCTGCCAGCAGCAGGGGCACCAAGAGGAGAAGGGCTGGGTGCCAGAGTCCCCTGGGGCGGTGGCCAGCGCCCAGAAACAGCCCCCAGCCAGCCCGGTGCCCTGCTCTCCGCCCTGGTCAATGCTTGTCTTCCTTCACAGCCTTCAGGAAGTTGTTCAGTCGTTTGAAGAAATCGTCGTTGGTGCTCTGGCCTGACGGACAGGTGCCTGGTTTTGGCTTCTGATTTACCGGTGGCAGCGGCATTGGCGGCAGCTGCTGCATGTAGGGCGACTGCGAGGTGGGCATGGCCATTTGAACTGGGACTGACACTGAGACTGGGGCTGGGCTTGTCTCTGTCCGCGGCGCCGGCTTCATGTTGGCCACGATCCAGTCGAAGTAGTTGCGCGCAAGGGTGTAGATCCCGGGCCGCTGGGCCCTGGCACAGCCCATCCCCCAGCTGGTGATCCCCATGAGCCAGAAGCGGTCAGACGTTTCCTCCCGGCACTGGAGGGGGCCGCCACTGTCGCCCTGCAGCAGAGGTTGGGGGGTGAGGCCTGGGGACCCCGGACAATGGGGGGAGCGCAGGTCCCAGCCCTGGTGGTGCCTTAGAAGAGCAATGCCCCCGCCCCGGGGAGCTGCAGCCAGGCTTCCCTGGCTCAGGAACGCACTTCCCATGGGCGGCTTGGTACTGTGCGGCCCCCTCCCTTTCCTTTTGCACAGCCCCCTGGGACTCACGCCTAGGGCAGCTGGGACCAGGGCTCCCACCTTGTCTTCACTGGTCCAGAGCATCCACACGCTCTGCAGGTGCTTGTTTACACCAGTGGCAGCTGCATTGCAGCCCTGCAGCCTGCTCCACAGGGCTCTGGCCAGTCTCCTCGCCGAGGATGCCCCACGAGTGCTTTGCACGTCCCTGGGGAGCCTGCTCTGGCCCCCCGTGCCCATGCCTGTGCATCACTTCTGGCAGCGCGGTGCACGGTGCAGTCCGGCTGGGACTGCCAGCGAGGGGGGCAGGAAGGGGTTGAGGCCAGGAGAAACTGAGGATGGAGCATGCACGAGACCTGCTCCATCTGGCAGCCCCGAGCTCACGGAGGCCGGGTGTGGAGGGTCCGGTGCCACACACCTGGCAGCTGTCGATGCCGCCCTTCTTGTGGCCGGCACATATGTTGTTGCTGTGGATGTTCCCCTGGTACCAGGTGCTGCTGTTGCACGTGACATAGTCGATGTAGTGGACCTGGGCTTCCTGCAGGATGTCGGCCGTGACCCCGGCTGCAGGAGCGCAGAGAGCGTTACCCCTGGGGCACCGGAGCCCGCTCCCTGCAGCCCCTAGCAGGGCAGCTCGTCCTGCCCGCGCCCTGCCGGCACTCACATTTCTCCTTCATGTAGCCCCAGCCGCTGACCCAGCAGTTGGTGAGCTTGGTGAGGGCCACGGTGCGGTCAGGCACGCAGGCCAGCTGGTTGTACTCGCTGCACTGGACGGGCTGGTCCAGCTCCAGCAGGGCGATGTCATTGAGCTGCCCCTGGCGCCGGTAGTTCTCATGTGGCACCACCTGCCGGTAGTTGCGCACCTGGACCTGGGGGCCCAGCCTGGAGAGCTGCGTGGCGCCGATCACCGCACGCCGCCCGAACAACGACCTGCCAGCACAGCACAGCACGGCACGGCACGGCGCCGGCTGCATCAGGGCAGGGGCAGAGCCCAGGCTCCCCATCCCCATGGGGTCCTCCCACTCCGTGCGTGGGTGCGAGCGTTCCCCGCCTCCCCCAAACTCACTTGGACTTGAAGCAGTGGGCGGCGGTGACCACCCAGCTGGGGTGGATGAGGGACCCGCCGCAGAAGTGCACGTAGCCGGTCGTGGAGAGGGCCTGGATGCTGACGATCCAGGGCCAGGCCCCCGGCATGGAGTCGTGGCCGCCCACGACCCGTGTGTTGCCGTAGCTCGCTGCCAGGGGCCTCATCCCACAGTCCGCCCTGGCAGGAACAGGCACAGGTCAGTGCTGGGCTTTGCCCCCTGCCACCCCGGGGCGGAGCTGTGCCCGGCCCCCACGAGCTCTCCCAGGCCCGTGCCAGCCCCAGCCTGGGCTCACGAACCCGCAGGGGTAATCGTCCCCCAGCCCCAGGCCGGCCAGCACCAGCACCAGCAGCAGCAGGAGGGCAACCAGCCCCATCTTCCCTGGGCGCACAGCACCAACTGCCGACCCACCGACCCGTGTGACATCACAAACCACGTCCTGGCTCCAGCCAATCAGCTCAGTGGCAGCATGACATCACGCAGAGCTGCTGGGGGGGTTACCCCTGACCATGGCAGCCTGGGCACCAGGTTAGAGGAGCCCTGGGAGCAGCCAGCAGGGAGGGGTGGATGCAGCCACTGCCTGGGATTCTCCCACAATGCATTGCAAAGGCCTGGTTCACGTAGCATGGAGATGGCAGGGCTGCCGGGGAGCTGCGGGGTCACGTCCCGTCTGAAGCAGGATCAGCCCCAGCGAAACCCAATGTGCAACCTTGAAGCTGCATGACAGTCGTCCCTGCCCTGCCCCCGGGATGCAGGGGGGCCGTGGCCGCCAATGTCCTGCTGCTGCAAGCGGGGCCATGGGCGCTGCAGAGAGCCCAGGCCAGGCTGTGCCCCCGCTGCAGGGGAATGGGAACCCCCCAGTGCCACCAGTCTGAGCAGGGGGGAAATCCCTTCCTGCCCCAGTGCAGCGTGGGGCTGAGCCTGAGCACGGGGGCAAGACCCTCCAGCCAGGACCCTGCGGGGTTGGTGCCAGCAGCAGCATTGGCCCAGCTCAGCCCCGTCCCCAGCCTGGGCTGCAGCAGCACCAGCATCTCTGGAGGAGGCTTAAACCCCCTGACACATGGAGCAGAAAAGGGTGGTGGGAAACCAACACAGCCCAGCAGCCTGGGACACCCCCCAGCAGAGCACGGGCATCGGATCCTCCCTGCCCGGTGCCCATCCACCCTCGATGCCTCCCGTGCTGGGGAGTCCCCCGCTCCCCACATCTCTCCCGCGGCCTCCCTGCTGCAACAGCAAAGTGCTCCGAGATCCAGCCCAATTCTGTTTTGCTGCAACTTGCAGCCTTTGGTCCATGTCTTGCTTTCCTGCAAGAGAAAGGCCTGTCGTAGCCTCGGCCTGGCCCTGCTTTGTGCCGCAAGTTCGACTTCACCAGTGGCTCTGGACTGAGCTTGGACGGAGGGTGCCAGCCGCGGGCCCACGTTACTGCTCATCTCCCGTGCGCTCCCAGGGCAGGGAGGGCAACGCTCCTGCACCGCAGCCAGCGGGTCTCAGCCGCTGTCGACTCCAAACCCCCCCGGCCGCTGCCAGTGCCTCACCCACACGCGTGTCCGAGGGGACTCCGCTCTCATCCCAGGGCATCGCCCCCAGCCCAGGACATGCAGCCGGCGTAGCGCCGTGCAAGGCCCTCGCGTCACCCCTCCACCCAGCTCCCGCGTGCCTGGACCGCACTCACGCCGGAGCAGGGCCCTGCTAGGATGTGGGTTTGCCCAGACATGCTCGACACCCTCCCTCTTGGGGCTGTTGCCCCAGGCTGCAGCCATCTGGGGAGCTGGGGGCAGAGCTGGGCCCCCAACCCCTGCAGTGCTCTGGCCCGTGGGGCAGCGTCATCCCCCAGGGCCCCACAGACAGGACGGCACACGGAGGGGAGCTCAACATCTGTAATGTGGTGGGCAGAGCTGGCCCGGCCCCCTCCTGCCCCCCAAACCCGTACCCCGAGCATCTCGGGCATCTCAGGCCATTGGGACCAGGGCAGGGCTGGGGGCCACGGGCCGGGGCCAGGGCCAGGGCCGGAGCCAGGGGGGAGCTGCCTTTCTGGCCCACCAGCGCGGGGACCGCTTGCGGGAGTGGCTGGTCGGGGGGCCCGAGCCCGGGCCGGACGGGGCCACGGGCCATGGGAGGACGTAGGGGGTCTGCGTGTGCTGTGCCGGGGGCGCGTGTGGCGGCTGCGAGGGCACGCAGGGTGGCACGAGGAGCACGCAGGGCAGCTGTAGAGTCACGCACGGTGGGTTCAGGGGCACGTGCGGACGTTTTGGGGTGCCAGCAGGCTCCGGGGCCACATGTGGCAGCTCCGGGGGCATGAATTGCAGCTCTGAGGGCAGGTGTGGTGGGCCCGGCAGGGCAGGAGGCTCCGGGGGGACGTGGGGCAGGGCC